ATTTTTTACTTAGTAAGTATATAGCTAAAATTAATATTCAAAATTTTATTAAAAAATTTAAATATTAAAAAAATTAGCAAAAATCTTCGCAGGCAAATTTGCCTGTGTTACAATTTAAGGGATAGCTTTTCCCCTTCTACTTGTTTAGTTGACTTTTGACTTCTGCCAATTTATTGCTATCTAGCTGCCTCCTGCAGTCTTTTTTGTATATTGTTGTGTTTGTTATAGTGTGTATTGCTGTATTTTATTGTAATAAGCGCCTTTGTCTTTCTGCTATTTTTGGTATCGAATGATTGTCGTATTTCTAATTAATTAATTAATTATTTATTTATTTCTACTTTTTTTTTGTCACAAACCTCGAGTCTCATGTTCTATATTTATTTCTATTTAATTTTTTATTAATATAATTTTATACTAATTTTATTAATTAATTTTTATTTAATTTATTTTATTTTTAGAATTCATTAACAACAATTTAATGCGCTTATTATATTTGGCAAAATTATTCAATGTGAACAACCAAATTAAATGCGTTCAGTTTTTAGCAAATAAAATTGAAATTTCATATGCCGATAATAGTGCACATCAGTTTTGCTTCCAAAAGTTGGGATCCAGCGAAGATCTCGACTTTGCGAGCAAACTATCTAGTGAGATTGACAAGTTACTTGAAGTAAGCTCGGATCCTCACAAAGATGATAAAATTTTTAAAGTTAAATATGAAGAACTACACATGTTTTCTATGAGCGAAGATATTATAATTAAGTAAAAATGTTTAAATATATGTTTATAAATAAATTACTAATAAGATTTTTTAATTATAAAATATAATAAAGAGAGTAGTGATACATATGAAGAACTAAATAGCGATAGTGATAAAGGTGATGGATATGATAAAGATGAAGAAGATAATAAATATAATGAAGTCAAAAAGCAGCGTATGTCTATTACTATATTAGTAATTAATTACTTACTTGTTTGTTTGTTTTATTTGCTAATTTTTTTTTTTATATTTTAGGTATAACAAAATCGACATCTAAAATAATTAAAAGTCAACATTTAAAGTATTCTAAAACTCAAAGAATTTACACTAACATCATTAGCAATTGCTTAATATTAAGTGCAATTGCTTGTGATTCAAGTATCGAAAAAATTGAAATTTATTTAGAAAAATATAGAGCAGTACTCAAAAATAAAGAAGAGACTACAACTTTGGAACCGGTTAGTTATATGTATATTAAAGAAATAACCAATAATATCCAATGGCCCGAATTTGTGTATGTAGATCTTAAAGATCCTATGATTAGTCCAGTAAGTCCACTAGGCTTTTTAATGGAGTATGAAGCATTTGAAAATAAAGCTCTTAAAGGAAATAGGCTAAGAGTTGCAGAGTTATATAATAAGTTTCGATTATTAGAAGCAGGCCTTCTAGTAGTTGCTTTTTTTTTTGATCCAAACTCAGATGTACCAAAATCTACTTACTATAAAGAAATTGCTGAAATTTTAAAAACCATAATAATGCAAAATTCTACCTCAATTCAAACAAAATTTCACTATTCATCAATTAAAGGTACTCTTAATTTACATGTATATTTAGAAAGATATAATAGACAAGAATCATTATTAGAAATTGAAAATAGCAATATTCAAGAACAAATAATATTATTAAGAAAATCACCAAACTTATCTTCTGATATTCTTCCTAATGAACAAA